TATATATATATATATATATATATTATAATTTTTTAAGTGTGGTACTAGCTATTAAGATGAGATTGCTATATTTTGAGTGTGTTAATCAGGTCATAAATGTAGGGTTGTAAAAGGTTGTGCAGCTTAATATATGGCCTAAGAACCTATATAGGCTTTGGTGTTAGATTGTCAATACATGGAAATTGGAGCAAGAAAACAAAAGATGTCGAATGGGACTGAAGACATATATAGTTTCATTGAACTCATGCATTTATTTTATGGTAAATGTGGCACCCATGTAGACTTGTTTTGAGAGTACTCCAACCCACCTTCATCTATAATGTGTATTTAAGCTTATTATATGCTTAATTAGTTTAAACGTGTGTAAGTAAATATTAATTTATATTTTAATATAGGATATTGATTAATAATAAAAATAAATATATTTCAAAAAAACAATCATATATATAAAATGTAAAAATTAATTAAAATAAATTGTATTTATATTATATTTTAATAATTAAATTAAATAAATATTAAAAATATTAAATTACCTATATATCAATCACTTTTCTTTTCATTTATATATATGTTAGAATTCTTTGCCGAAGGTAGTAAGGAACATACAATTTTTTTTTGGTACAAGTAAGGAACATACAATTAACCATATGAACTTGATAACCGAGCCAGCTTTATGTATTTTATAACCAAAAAATGGTTAAGGCCTTAAGGGGCATAATAATTTTGTTTTTACCCTAGCTATCTATATCCCGATGGGTCATATCCAAATCCTTTCTATGGAGACAAGCAAAGTCAGAAACATGTAGCTTTTCCATGCTTGTGCAGCAAATTAAGAAAAGAGTAAATATAACTTTTCTCTCTTTCAGCCAAAAGGTGCATTACAACTCATTCTTGCACATTAAGTATGTGTGTGTGCTCTTGCAGTTTTTATAATTACCCAAAAAAGTTGAGGAAAGAAGTTTAGAAGCTAATTAGATAGAGGGTCCGTGGGGTTCAATTTCATAGGGGCTAAAACCACCTAATCTTGAGATTAAACCAAGCTAGAAGTGTCTCTATGCATGCTGAAATTTATGTAGGATGAGCAGAAAATATCTGGTTGGTTTTTAACTCTTCTCTATTATGTTCTTTTTATTCATATTTGTTAAGGAATTAGACAATCAAATGTGATATTTGATTGACCCTAAATAATCAAATAATATATTTACTTAGACATTGATGCCATGTGTATGTAGAGTGTGGTTATAGCCATTCATAATTTTATTAAAATTACTCTAAAATTATTTAATTTGATTAATATTTTATTTTATTTTAGTTTTTTTCTTAAATAATTGGTTATAAAGTCCAAAATATTAGTTTTTAAATTAATTTTAATATGTTAAATAATAAAAATTAATTATTTTATTTATTATTTGTTATTTTTAAAAATCAAATTAAACAAAACTGAATAACCTTAATAAAATGATAATCGGATGACCATAACTACACTCTTGCATGCACTGCAAAAAATTCTCTCTTTTATGGCTCTTAAGTAATTGGCATGTTTGATAAGTTTAATGAAGAATCAATTCTTAAAGAGATTATGAAAAGAAGTAATTAATTCGACTTCATGTGAATAGTTTGCTTCTAGCAAAAGGAGAAAAATACCATCAAGTGATTACCTTAATGAATTGAGGTTAAATTGTTAATTAAGACTTTGAGGAAAGTACTTAAAAGTATAATTTAAAAAAAAAAAAAAATCAGTTGCATGATGAAAAATAAAACTCTCATTCTTTTAGTTTCCTTATCTGCATACTGCCTTAAAATATCTTATTTCTACTTAATGAAAATATCAATTCCTCAATCGTTTTACAGAGACCCAAGGTAAATTAAATGGAAGATTGAAAAAACTCCCATACTTACTCAATAGCACCCATATAATATTCGCCTATCAAACAAAAAAAACATGACCCATATAATGTATCACTTCCCAAAAAAAAAAAAAAAAAGACACAAAATTGTAATAAAGAAAGTTGGAGAAAACAAAACAACCTATAGCTAGATAAGGGCAAAAACCAACATTTAATCCTTCACCTTACAAAATTGGTAGGTTTTAGTCCCTCACCTTATAATATGACAGTTTTAGCCTTTTATCTTACAAAATTGATAAATTTTAACCCCTCACCTTACAAAATTGGTAGTTTTTAACCCCTTACCTTATATTATGATATTTTTAACCCTTCATCGATACGAATTAAAGAAAATAACCCTTACCTAACATCAGATTATAACGTTTTGTTAGTTCTGTTAGTTGACTGTTAACGTCCATTAGCATTCCGTTATAAAAAACATGAAAATTAAATTCAATTTTATTTGTTAATTCAATTTTATTTGTTAATTCCATTAACGGAATGCTAATGGATGTTAACAGTCAACTAACATAACTACCAATCAGCTAACAGAACTGATAATCAATTAACAGAACTAATAGAATATTATAATTTGATGTTAAATAGTGACTATTTTTTTCAATTAGTATAGATAAGGGGCTAAAAGTATCAAAATATAAAGTGAGGGGTTAAAATCTACCAACTTTATAAGGTGAAGGGTTAAAATTTATCAACTTGATAGGATAAAGAATTAAAAGTGTTATATTATAAAGTTATGAGCTAAAACCTATCAATTTTGTAAAATAAAGACTAAAAATTGGTTTTAGCCCTAAATAAGTGGGAAATTGTCACACTATGTGGGAGCCAATAAGCTAAAGCGCCCTGAAATATTGACGTCATGATATTTGGGATTGGTTGGTCCAAAGCCTTGTTGCGTGGGTGAAGAAATGTTGCAATATAGGTGAAGGACCAAGTCAACCACGTCAGAGCATTGGTTTATCCATCATATTAAAATAAATATACTTAAAAAAAAATTGTCAGTTTCTGAGAGAACACTTGTACCTAAAGCAACAAAACAAAGAAGTGTTGGTCTTATCAAA